AAGAGTCATTGGGGTTTAAGACATGTACCACCAAAGTGGCTTTGCATTTGCTTCAAAGCCCAGTTTTTATGTTAATTTTTTGGCTTGATGTAATTTTAAACTAGAAACTCAAGGTAGGCTCTTGGTTAACACATCTTCAGCTTCTTCTACTTGGAGCTTGAGTAGAAATGCGATTCTTTATTTTCCTGTGCCTGTGGGTAAGTTTTGTTTTTAGTCTGCCCTCCTCTGAGATAGAGCTTTCCAGAGGTTCTGGCTTGATAGGATCCTTACACTCAACTCCTCAGCTTAGCTCCCCAACCTACCTCAGGATTTCCTAGATTGGCAAAATTGGGCATGGGCATGGGGGCTGCTTAGGACTATTTCTGGTCTTGAACAATTTCTTTCCTTCAGTCTCAGCTAATCTAAAAAGACTGCTTTATATTTTGTTCAGCATAGCCAGGTATTCTGTAGTTCACGTATTTTCTCATTACTTACTCTTTTGTATTGTCAGGAACATGATTATTTTCTATCTAAGGTGGATGTTTACCCTCTCCTTAAATGTTCCACGTACCAAATGGTAATGGAGAGCTCTTGAAGGCTCTCCTAAAACACCAAACTCGTGTATCAAGGGGATGAGGGTGATATGTTTCTTAGGCTTTTGCTATAGGTTTAAATGTAGTTTGGTTTCAGAATTAATACCAACAATCTCCCCCAAAAGTCTACCCATTTTAAAATCCTGGAAGGGATAAGATAATCTACAGTGGTCATATAGATCCAGTGGTAAAACAAAATAAAAACATAATTATTGGTGAAATAAATTTTGGACCACTGAAGAGACACAGCACCTTGGGAGGGTGGCTTGGTTATACCAACCATTTCCTGATTATGATCAGTATGACTTTTAATTAAAAGCACACCTTTAAAAAATCTTCATCCATTATAATTTACAACTTGCCTTTATTGCCTTAAATATTCATAGAGATTATTTTATTATTGAAATATCAGTAGGATGCTGAGGAAGAAGTCAAAAAGTCACAAAAAGCTATAAAGCAACCTCTTGCCAAGATCTTGCATGTCCATGAAAACGCAGCCTGGAGCAGTATCTATACCAAGATATTAAACTTCGCTAGACATCTCTTTACATAATATAAAATGTATAGGAAAAAGGTTGACTCCTTATGATGAATATTTTCCCTATCATATCAGTTCAACAGAAAGCAAAATAGTAACAGCAAATACTAATTGTGGGTAACAATGAATTTAGTAATGTATAGGGAACAAAACATTTAAACAAATGTGGTAGCCACAATATTTCAAAAAGCACACTTACATCTTTTCACTATCAGATCCTTAATAAGCTATGGCTTCTACCAAAAACAAGGGCCATAACCAACACTGCCGACTGCCTTTTAAAAATGTGTTAATAATAGTCTTCCTATTTTGTTCACTGCTTTTCTTCACCTTTACAGATGACATTTTTCAAACTATAAAATGCATTCTGCTGGCAAACCTTCCTGCTTCAACAGTTCTCAATTTTATAATAGTAAATCTACATCCTTTGCTTCTGAGACATCCACTATCTTTTGGTATGTGACTTTGAATGAGGCAGAGAACAAGCCATACATTTAAAAATCAATATCTAACCTTATCAATATTCATTTTACTTTGTCAATATAAAATACAAAGGTGAAAGAGCAGTAAATAAGCTAAAGCACTGAAACAAATTTGGTATTCCTGTCACAATTAATAAATGTTGAACTGATAATACTGCTGGCTAGTCTACAGCCTTACAAAGCAGATGAAATTATGCTTTGATGCTATTGCGCTAAAACAGGGTGAGTAAAATTTCAACACACTAGCAGGTAAAGATCAGATTTGGGGTTCTTAATTTCATAGGTGACTTTTAAAAGTATTTTTTATGTATACAATACATAACTGTTTATTCTGCGAGTCTTAAATTGTTGTATAAACCCTGTTCAGGATTATAAAGTTAGAGTGCCAAATTGCAGTTTTCTGACAATGTTTTGGTAAATGTTTTCTAAACCTGCTATTTAACTGCATAATATTTCACAAATAAATCAGACGGAATCGTTAAATAATATTCAAGCTGTCCGCCTTTTAACTCTTATCCCCTATTTCAGATGAGAGACAGTTATCTTTACCTGCATCTTTCCAGCTTAGACTGAATGTTGACTAAAGGCAAAAGAAAGTGTAAAAATATATCTCAATTCAGTGTGGTTTTTGGGGAGGTCTGCAAGGGCCTATAAAATGGGGAGAACATTCCCTTTGAAATAGGTCTACTTGCTAACTCAACTCTGGAAGCTTACAAATATAATTGACTATTATAAGGCTGAATATACTCCAGAATTTGAAAATTATAATTTTCAGAGACAAGATGATCGAGGATTCATAACCTCATTATCAAAGTGTATTTATGCAAAAGCATTTCTTACTTGAATTTGGATAATAATCTTCACCTTAGAGTTGATTCATTAGTATTAGAAGATATTCTTTTTAAAACTGAGGACTTTTAAATAACCTCATTCTCTTCCTCTTTGAGAGGAACTGTTATGCATGGATTTAAAAAATGCATTGGAAATGAGTAACATAATTCTCTTACTCCACTACTGTGAGTAATTACAAAAATGCATTAAATTTCTATGAATTTTATTCTTTAAGCAAAAAAAAAAATCTAGTAATATAATCAAAATCCTGAATCTTAAAAAAATCACAACAGTTCTGAAATATAACGTCTGGAATATGCTGGTATGAGCTTATGAATGTTTTAGGCTAAAGTTTAATGTTTATACCCATACTCTGTATAAATGATTTTCTCTGATGCTACTGAGTTGTAACGTCAAAATCACCTTGTAGAAATAATTATATTATCCTCTCCTCAACCATTATGCATTTTCCTTCTCACTTCACATATGTTCAGAGTGTTAGAACCTGACCCTGAAATTCTCTCTTCCTTATTGCAGGCACTAAGGTGCTTTAGTCACATCCCTAAGATTGTTCTTGTACTATTTCTTCCACTAATGTTTGAATCATTGAAAAGATAAGAGAATTCAGGGGACCATTCAACTGGAATGGGGATATTAAAGAATCCTACACCGGCCTTATGAAAGATTTGAGTTGAAGAACTTATGACATGGATTCGATCTAAAAGTGGCTATATGTTCCTGCATAAAGATATATTAGAAGTATTCTCATGAATGTTCTGTATCTCTACATAGCAATATTTAGGTAACTCTTCTATGAAACTTAAGATATAATAGCAGGTTCAAATAAACATATGCAATAGAACAGTCTTCACAAATATATTCTTACAAAAAAGCCATATGTTGTCATGGAAAGAATAGGGATTTAGGAAGTCATGGGGGGATGTAGGCTTGAAACCTCCCTTTGCCATTCAATAATTATATCTTCTTAGGGAATGAAGAAAAACCATCACTTCTCTGAATCTTAATTTTATGGTATAAAGTGATGCTAATACCACCTAGCTCACAAACTTGTTACAAAGATAAAATGAAATAATAAAGTTTCTGTTACAGAGTAGGTACCCAATAAGTGGTAAATATTATTCTATATAAATACACTTCCACACACAGGTGTTTCTTATTTCCAAATTCTGAAAATTCAATATAGCTACAAGATGATGATCAATATTATATTTACTCATAACCATATGTATAATGTCATAATGTTGCCCTTTATATATAGATGGAACAACTGGATTATGAGCGCTCCAATTTTAAGTCATTCCATTTTTTTAGTACTGAACTATAGGACAGATCCCCAAGCTCCACATTTTTTATTTCTTTGAAATCACCATGTCAAGATTTTTTTTACCCCTTCTCATAGTTTATTCTCCTGGTTGACATGAATCTTATTTTCATAGTCTATAAATCATCATGGAAAAAATGACTTTTCCTATGAAAGACTTCCCAAATGAAGTTAAAGGAAAGTTTATAAATATGAATGGTTAAGGATCCCAGGCAAGAGGCCAAGGCTATTATTCTTTGTAACTGACCAAGTATCTACACTCAAAACATTTCTTAGAGTCAGTTTGCTGCATCACAAATCCACGATGGTTAACTGTAGTTTATTCCTAGGTGGGTGAGTGTCTACATTTTAAGGCCTAGTTAGCTTCCTCCTTTCACTGGTTTTTATCTCTGCCTTCCTTTTCATTGCTCTTGCATGAGATTTGGTTAAACATACTGTTATTCATATCCTTCACCACCAAGCTTGAGCCTTTGCCCTTCTAGGAAGGCTTCCTGCCCCCTCTGATCTAGTGACTTCTCCCTGCTCAGCACTTGGGCTTTCCCCTACCCCACACTCATTAGAATGAAATGTTATTAGGATGTGATTTTTTGAGGTGGAAATAATGAGAGACTTTTTATTCTAATGAAGGCTTTTTTTTTTTTTTTTTTAAAGTAGGCTCCACGCCCAATGTGGGGCTTGAACTCACTACGACCCCGAGATCAAGAGTCGCATGCTCTACCGACAGAGTCAGCCAGGCACCCGTGTTTAAATAGGAAAGACAAATCTAGAATTGCTGCAGAGCTGGGACTAGAAACCAGATTGACGCACTCATGGCTAACTTTCCATCTTTTATAATATGGGGTCTTGTGTTTTGAGGCTGCTCCTTATACTTTTGAATTTACTATTAATTTCTTCTGGAATTATTTGCCTTTTGACCTATTTATGCCTCACTGTCCCAACCAGTTTATAAATTCCCGGAGGCCAAAGACACAGCCTTTGAAGTTTTTGTATCCTTTAATACCTCACACAGAGTCTTGCATTCAGGCGGGTGTGTAGCAAATATTGTATTGATTGGCTGCCTGAAAAATCTACACAAGGAACACGCAATATATCCTGACACCAAATGCAAATGATTTAATAGTTGCTTGTAACTGTGCCTCTTCTTCAGTGTAAGCGATTTAGAATTATCTGTATTTTCTTCTTGATGATTTATGAACCTTATATTTGTATTCTGCCCCAACCCTTTTTTGCTTTACCTGCTGTAGTAGGTCCAGGCAAAGGTGCAGCTTTTCTTCTCCGTTTGATATCTCCCGTGCATAAGGATCCTAAATGCATGCTTGTTTGCCTACAAGTAATTATCAGAAAAAACTATTAACAAAGGAGGAAAAAAATGACACATAAATACACAGCTTGTATAATCTGAACCTAAATCAAAACATTCTCAACAAAGATGGAGCAGCATAGTAAAACCACCAATCTTGTTTATATCGAAACATAATTACGTTTGTTGACAAGCGTTCAGCAGCTAAATGCGCCATCATAAATTGTTACTGGAATGAATAATATAAAAGGAATGCTTTTTAATTTTCAAAACTGGCAATCTTTCTAGCTCAACATAAAATCAAGTACTGTTGCTTCTGACAGGAAAATAGCTAAGATTAATTATCTAAAGAGATCACAATATTGTTGCTAGGTTATCAATTGGTTACTAATGCTTTACTGTCAGAGCAATATTTATTACAGGAAAAGTATGATCAATTTCTTTTAGGATATTATGTGGCAGTGAATTCTCTTAAAACATTTTAAACAGATAGAAGGAAATAGTGATGTTCTCTCTTATAATTCATATGATTAGAATTCTTTAGTTAATTGTTTATTAGCTAGGTGAGGAAGCATAATTTGAATGTGTTAATGCTGGTCTACTGCCCCTGAGGAGGCTAACATGGTATTGGATTATATTTGTAAAGACATGATATATAAGAACTGAGAAGAAGTAGACCTTCTGCAATTCTTGAAACTAGTTAGAATTGGAGTATTTTGCCTAATTATGGATTCCTAAATTAAAAAGTTTTGGGGAATTAGAAATGGCCCAATTGAAAATCAAGAAAAAACAATACAAAGATGGAAAGGATTTTAAAGTCTTTAAACATTTCAAGCTATAAAAGGACTCTGTTCATTTCCTGGATCATAATCCCTGATGTGGGGTTGGGACAGTGTCTGGGGATCATGAACCAGAAATAAATGATGCATGTTTATTATAGCACATGTTCTTTTAGTAATTCACAGAGATATCTGGTAGTATCCTCAAGTTTTATATTTAACCTAGCAAGGCCTGTTGGATCCATGTCCTCTCTATATCCTGTTGTTTCTGAATGGCCCAACAAACATTTGGTCCTTTCCATCTCCTTATGAATTGTATTCCTCCCCTTTTAAGTCCCAGACTCCTATCCCCCTTCTCCTTAGTTCAGGATGACATATATACCTCCTTTTGCCTCATTGTCTTTGGAATCTCATGTTTGTGTGGGTTCCCTGTATGTACAGAATCTAATTTGATTTCCTCCTACTAATCTGTCTCACGTCAGTTTGATTCTTAGTCCAGCTAGAAGAATCTTGAAAGACAGAGAAAAATTATTTTCTCCCCTACTTACCCAGATTATTAGAGAAAAATTTAAAAGGAAAAAATTCAAGTAAGAACCAAGATATGTATTTACACACATACTCTCAGGTATTTAAATATAATGAAAAATTGGAACTGGGGAGTAAAATCTACATATAGGTTCTACCTATATAGCACAAAGTAAAGTACAATAATGATCTGGCTGATCCACAATCAAATAAATACACTGTAAAAATCTATCAATATAGGTGTAATAGTAAATAGGCATTTGTCTAGTTTTCTCTTCCTTTTGTATTGAGTGTGTACTGTTTCTCTGTTATAGAATATATATACTTATTAAAATATTTAAAAAAATTAGTTCATTCAGGTAGTGACTAACTTTGCAGAAATACACACACACACATACACAGGTCAAAAGTTTTTAGATATGCAAAACTGTCTGGATTTTGAGGTGTGGTCCTGGCTCCAATGCAAAGAAAAATGAATGATTATGATCCCATTTATTTTTTTTAAAACTATTAGAAATTTAAAAAAACTATAGTTATCAGAAAAGACACATCCTTTTTATACAAAATTAATGAATTCACTTATTCAGCAAGCATTTATTAGTGTCTACTATTGACTTAGCATTAAGATCCCACAGAGATGGTGACAATGAGGACAGTAGGAAAGAAGAGATGGAAGATACAAAGGACATGGAATATTCACTTCCTATTATTGGAGGAGTTTACAGTCTGAGTGGGGAGATTAAGTCATGAGTACATGAAATAATTAGCGACAGTGGTGGCAGTGGTGGGCAACACCAACTTTATTAGCTATTACTAGAGATTATGTTATTTAGGCCTTATAACAATTCGAAACATGTTGTGTTGAATATACCTTTTTTCTTTTGTAGGGAAATATTTGTGCCTCAGTGGAAAACTACACTTTTAGAGCATATTCTTCTTGTAATCAAATTCTGATTCTATGGGAGCTAGTTTACGACTCGAAGTTATGGATGTCCGAAAGCAATGGGAAATAATTCCTGTCTACAGAAATGCAAATGAATTGTCCTGAGGAAGGACAATCTTCTCTCCTGTGGAAAAGTCAGTTCCACATCCATCTGCCCATTCACATCTACATTCCTTACTCCTTATAAATCTGTATTTCTTTGCCTTCTTCTTTGAACCCCTTATAAGATCTGCCTGGTTCCCTCAGTAACTCATGAGCTAAATAATATCTCAAACACATACTCATTTTTTATCTGTGAAAGAGTCATGATTTTACCTTTTTGTACCATATTATCCTTTAACATCTGTGATCCCTATGGAAACCTCCCCCTAGCAAAAGACTGCAGCAATGTTGATTCTGCAGAGCATATACCAGACAGGATCAGATATCAGGGATAGCTGAGGAAGCTGGGAAGGGAACATTCTGGAAATGGGAATGAAGTGGGAATCTGAATTCTGAGGCATGGCCCTTTTGTTATTGAGCTGTAAACACCAACCCACGGACCATCTACTTCTGATCCTCTTGTTAAAACATAATAAATATCCTTTGTTTAAGCTACTGTTGGTTAGGTTTTGTATACCCGTTGCTGAAAGTATTTTTTTTTTTTAAGACTTTAAGTAGTCTCTACACCCAACGTGGGGCTCGAACTCACAACCCCGAGATCAAGAGTCGCATGCTCTACTGACTGAGCTAGCCAGGCGTCCCTCTTGCTGCAAGTATTTTAAACTATAAAGAGTTTAGGGGCACCTGGGTGGCTCAGTCGTTAAGCGTCTGCCTTTGGCTCAGGTCATGGTCCCAGGGTCCTGGGATCAAGCCCCTCATCGGGCTCCCTGCTTGGCAGGAGGCCTGCTTCTCCCTCTCCTGCTCCCCCTGCTTGTGTTCCCTCTCTCTCTGTGTCTCTCTCCGTCAAATAAATAAATAAAATCTTAAAAAAAAAAAAAGCTATAAACAGTTTGTCCTGTTCAGAGATTTAACAGTAGTTCAAGATGTCTGGGGAGCAGTGTTTCGAGAAGGGACTATATAATTTGAAGGAAGAAGAATGCTGAGGCTGGATCATGGGCCGTATATGCCACATATGCCCATGAAGGTGTCTGGATTTTATAGCTGACGTGGAGTCATTAAAAGTCATTTGGCAGGAGTGACGGTTGGAGAGATTAGCATCCTGGGATGCTGGTAGAGAGAGGGGCTGGCCAGGGTTGAAAGTGATGAGATGGAGAGCGACTAGGTTTGCAAAATCCAGACACATACTGCTTCCCACGTCATTCCTCTCTGTCATGGTTGAGAATAACACGAAGCTGCTGCACCATGGAACTTCTTTGTGTTGGTCTATCTGAGAGAGGAGGTGGGCTGGGGTGGGCAGGCAGCTCATGAAAAGTCCTGATTCTGGATTATTAAAAACAAAACAAAAAAACAACTATGCCAGGTTTTATTAATTTCAGATACATTTAAAGCTCAAATTAAGGTAAAAAAAATATTAGCCAGGAGCATCCTTCTTAAGAAATACATTTCTGGAAATAATTAGAAGAAATACTTGAGGGTGTGACAAACCATAGGTATTCATTGTGACTATTAACATTGCCACGTCCACTGTTCTGGCACTAATGGTTTGTAATCAGAGTCTTCTCATAGCTTGAAAAATCGTTCTCCAAAGTCAATATTGCCTTTAAGACTTTATCACTTTTTTTACACTATTAAAACTTATTAGGAAGGCCTGTTTACAAACATGGCAAAAAACAAATCCCAGGAACAACTCCCTCTTTTAAGACTTTTTTCTCATCTGCTGGACCAAAAATTCCCTTTCGGGTATCTTTACAGAAAAAATGGAATATAACTTCTTTATTCAACTCCTTCACCCCCCCTCCTGGCCCCTGCCGCCCCCAGCGGAGCTGCATAAAGGAAAAGAGACAAAGATTCAAGGAGAATAAAGTTCAAGTTAATAGAGTCTGTACATTGTACCCAAAGATCTGAGCCATAAGAAAAATAGCTGGCTGGATTTCAGCAATTCTATCTGGAATTGACTCTCTGCTACAGCACATTCTGAGATTTGGATTATTGATCAGTAAGATTACCCCATTCAGGCTGGTCCACCCCCCTTTCCTTCAGACAGGTGCAATGAAGTTGCTACAAAGAACACTAAGTAAGGTGTACTCTGTTATTTGTTGTCACTCCTAATGTAAAACATAGCAGTTATTTTTTAATTTAAAATCAGTGAGAGTCTCAAAGGCAGCTTTGTTACCTCAGTCTACGTGAGTCATTCATTTTTGCAAAGCAGAATACTTGGATTACTATTCAAGGTGATAGCTGGCTATTTTTTTTTTTTTTTTTGCGGGGTGTTTTGAAGAATGATAATGCACTGTTCTACGAACAGACCCGAAGTTATTAAAAAATAATGTTACGATTTTTTGGTAAGGCGCTGCAAGAAAATTACGAATCAACTATATCAGTGTAGTTGTTTCTGTTAACAGTATTTGCTTGCAGTGGAGAAGAAGGGAGACAAATCAAAACCTGATAACTTTATAACTACTCACACCTTTATTATTAAAGATAAACATATCTTTAAGTGGAAAGGATCAAGAAATAATGCTCTCTTGTTTTGGATTAGTAAGTATTATCACTTAGTTAGATTTGAAACATGGTTTCCCATGTACTAATTCTGAAGATTTGCCTATTAAATATTCGAAAAGCAGAGCTGAAAAAGAAGACTTCATTTTGTTTTGCTTTTGAAACACACTTCACTT